CATTTTCCCAAGCAAGCATGACTCACAATTTTCAAATGATTCATAATCAAATGAAGAAAGAAGTCCATCCTTATGTAATTTCTGGATGCGCTTTTGGTTTATGTGACCAAGCCTACAATGCCATAGGTAAGTTGGGTTTGAACCATCTGTTTTCTGCCTTTTATGATCAATATTGTAGACATGGGTTGTATATTCTAATACATACAAACCATTAATTAATTTGGCGTTGGCATATAACATATTTTCTTTCGAAATAAAACAACACTTGTCTCTTATTTCAAATGAAAATCCTTCTTAATCTAAAACAGGAACTGAAATAATGTTTTTAGTTATTGTTGGTACATAATAACAATTATTAAGCACAAAATAAGTCCAGAGGGAAGTCTCAAATGATAGCTTCCAATAGCAAGTGCAGCAACTTTTGCTCCATTTCCTACTCGAAGCGTTACTTCCCCTTTTGCCAACTTCTTACTTTCTTTTAAGCCCTGCACGTTATTAACGATATGAGCACCACATCCGGTATCAAATACCCAAGTGGAAGAAGAAGTAAGATTAATTTCTACAACGAAAACATCAAGTAACTCTTTACCTTCAGTTTTCACTGGTGTATAGTGGGGACACCCTGGTGTATGGCATGGCCAACTACCGCAAAAGAAGCATTCGCTTCCTCTCCTCTTCAGGAACTCCTCAGCATGGTTAAGCAACAGATTGATCAGTGTCACCGAAGATCCCTCATCATTATGAGTGAGCTTGACAATGTCAAAACAATCATGGAGTGAGAACAAAATAATATCATGAGCAGAGTCATCATCGATCGGTTTTCCAAGGACATCCATTTGATTGAACATTTCAATCAATTCCCTTACATGGGCCCTTACTGACTGACCAGGCATGAGTCTTTTAGCCATTATTTTACAACGGACATTGTAAGCCTCATACCTTACACTGTCAGTCCAGGAATAGTAAATCTGAGGGATCGAGTTAACGACCTCTCTTACATTTTGATCATTTATGCCTCCACTGCCTAGTGCTCCTATGCCACCTCGACATATAGCACGAAGACATTTGTACAATATGGTTAGCTCATAGTGCCTGAATCTTCTTTTCCAACAAGTTGGAATAGATTCTAAAATGAGCTATCTGATTTTCTCTACAACTGAAACAATTTCAGCATGCCTTTCAGCTCCATACTTTTCTGTGTATTTGCTCTCAACAGGAATGTATAAACGAGATTCAAGCCCATGGCTTGTGAGAACATTTTTCAACTCCTTTTCCCATTCCCTGAAGTTTATGAGATTCAGCCTTAAGTTAAGTTTCATTGGTAAGATTGTGTTGTCGTATAAGTTATTCATCTACAAACAAAAACAAACGAGGCAAAGTTCAATAATTATGTTTAATAAACTTTTAAAGTACCATAAGCGATTTTAATACTGGTAACTTTAAAACATTCATTCAATTTTAATTGATCCCTATTGAATAGAATGATTCCAAGACCCTTTATTTGTGCAATAATTGACCGGACTGAGGCCCTACCATCAACTATTGCATTTTCAAGGTGAGTAAACTCTTTACTGATTACAACTCTTTGTAATTCTTGGTTGAATAATTAACCATCACATGTTTAATTATTACCCTTAGCTTCAAGGTTCTAAACTCTTTAGGTAACCTTGTTGAGTATAACCAATTAAAAGTGTAAAACATGATTTACCCCCACTCCCCTAAGATATAGTATGACTTCCAGCTGAGGCATGACCTGCCATAAATATCGAAGGTTTCATCGGGTTTTTAATTGGAAAAACAACCTCAATATTACTGGGACCTAGATTCATTATGTTGTGATTATATAGTGAACTCTAGCGCATCATCAATCAACATAAATAAAATCTAACATGCATAATCTACTAATGCATAAATAGAACATGACATAGTATGGCCCCTTAATCCTAAGAAAACTAATAAAGCAAAAGCTCCCACTTGAACCTTCATGGATCTCATCCATCTTGCTCCTTTGGGCCTCCACTCCATGGATTCTTGGATTAACTGCAACCTGTAATTCTATTCTATTCTATTTACTACTTAAATAAAATAAAATAAATTACAAAAATACTTAACGGTACGCGGACCGTATTTAGATTACAAAAATACTAAACGATGCGCAGATCGTATTTAGAACCTATGGGCCATACTAGTCTATATAGAAATATATAACATCATATATTATAAAATGCCATATAATAAATCACTCATCATGCTTTCCTAAACTACAACATCGAATGTTCACAGTAAAGGAAACATGGCTCCTAAAATATCTCATATTTTAATTAATTAATTACTGTAATTAGATAATATCATATATTATTCATGACCAATTATAAAATATCATATATTTTAATTTAGGTATGAGATAGAATCAAATCTTAATTTAATTATGGAAGATAAATCATATTTATTTTCCATGATTATCCTAACTCTTAGGAGATTCTATCCTAATTACTTGCCAATCACATATTTTAAATCAATTAATATCCTAAAATAATTATGGGATAATCATATTATTTAATCAATTATTATCCAAATAGAATCTTTTGCTCCATAATTATCCTATCTTAACAAAATCAACAACTTTAATTTTGTTAATTATCCTTTCAAAATCAAAAGTTATCTTTAATTTTAATTTTGAAAACTGATTTTATCCAAAATAAAATAATAAATTTTTTTTTTGAAAAACCGCGTCAGCCACCGTGGTGTGGCCAGCCGAAGCCGGCCACGGTGGCCGCACACCTTGCGGTGTGTGCTGCCCTGCAGCGACGCCCGGACAGCAGCAGCAGCACACCTATCGGGGTGGTGTACTGCTGCGTTGCCCCTTTTTCTTGACCCGTGCCCAGCCGCCCTCCCTCCTGGACCACCACCAGTGCGGCAGTCGCCGTGGCTGCGCCACCCAGCCGCGGCTGCCGCACCTCAATACCTTATTATTATTATTTTTTGATTTTTAATTTAAAACAGAACAATTTTATTAAAATTAAAATTAGTGTGGTCCATCCAATTTTAAAATTAAATCATATTAAATTTTAAAATTAGGGTTCTTCATGAATTTAATCCCAATTCAATTTAACTTTTAAATTAAATAGGTTGATCATGAAAAATTCATAATTTATCATGAAATCAATTAGATTAAATTCTTTAAACATAAAACTTTCGAATTAAATCAAAATCAAAAACACAAATTTCACAAATTAGGGTTAATGATTTCGAAAATTTCGAAATATTAAAGGGGGGGGGGGGTTCGAATTTCTTGAACTTGATAGGGCAATTTTCGGATCTATTTAGGGCTAATATGGAGCAAATTAAACAACTTTAATGATTCTATATTGTTAAATCATATTTAATATAATAATTGACCCATAATTAAATTATTCTCCCTCCTAATTGAATTAAAATTGTGGATTAACAAAGGTTTAATACTCAATATTTGTAATTGCAAGAGGCTAACTGATACCACTGTAGGGGATTATAGGTACTACACAGCGGAAATAATCATGAATCATATTCATATAGCACCTAACCAAAGATCTCATGCATAACACATAAAGAGTAAGAATTATACCTTTGAAGCGTGATTCCACTAGCAATTCGAGCAAGAACAAGGGAGACAAAGAACCTCAAACGTGATTCCTCTACTTGGTCCACATGCACAGGTTAAGACCTCCACTAATGCTAGTTAGTCGCGATCGAACTCTTCAATCGACCTTCTACGGAGAGGTATGAGCAACGAACTAGTCACGAACCACCACGAACCACCGCGAACACCACCAGGGGTGGTCGGCCGCAAGTCCAGGGGGGGAGAGGGGTGCCGTGAGAGAGAGAGAGAGGGAGGTGAGGGAATTGGGATTTGGTTGCCTTGATTCACAATTCACTGTAAGTTGATTGTGTCTCTTCTATTTGCAACCCTAGGCATGGATCTTATTTATAGATCATATCCATAAATAAGAGTCCATGACCAAGCCCAATTCCTAATCCCAATCAAACTACACTAGCCCAATCCTATTCATGATTAGTTAAATACTCATAAGGCCCAATAATGGACCTCTTACTTGCTTAACCCAATACCTTTGTGTGTGACCTCATAGGATCCATTCTAGCGGGCTTTGGGCTATTTTAATAGCCCAAAGATCATCTCTCATAGTCTAGCAACAGATGATGACGCCCCAAGAGAATGAACTTATTATCTCCATAATAGTGATCCTTGATATATCTAGTAATTGCACTTATCGAAGACATAACTCCTTCACCGTGGCGGGTATAATATCCACATGCATACCCGCCCCACCGGGTACAAACTAGATAGGATCCATCCCCGCCCCATCACCCACTTGGATATTCATACCTACCTCATATACGCCCCAAAATCGTCCCAAACCCTTTGCCATGATGCTCTATTGTATCACATTAATATTTCAAATTAAGTTAAGAAAATTGGGATTTTCACTATTCAATCTTATTGGGTCTCAGGGGGTATCAAGTTTCATAAATTCTCAACTCTTCTAAAAGAAATATGGTACGGGTATAAGGTGGGTACGGGGCGGGTCTAAAATCCATACCCGCCCCATTACTCATGGCGGGTACACATTTTATACCCATCCCCGCCCCATCACCCGCCAAACCTCCCTCCATCCCCGCCCCACTTGGGCGGGGATGGGACGGGTCTCCCATTTAACCCGACCCACTGTCATCCCTACCTTAATTAGTTATTGATTGATTGATTAGCTTACCTTATTTAAGTGTTTTTTTTTTGGAAAGCGTAAGTCATAAACTCATAATGCATAATTTAAGGTAGAGATTTCCTTAATTAAAGTCATGTCATCAATCCACACCCAATTAATTCCAAAAAAAGTAAGTTAAAAATGAAACATATTCAATATGGGTAGATATTTTTGAAACGCCCAAATAGTATATGGAAGTAACATTATGAAACGGAGAGAGTAGTATATAAATGATTTAAATTTAAAAAAAAAAAACAAATTAAACATATCCTTACATTCTACAATTAATACAGATGGGAAACATCAATCTACAAAATGTAATAACAAAGGAAGACGTGAGGATCAGGTTGCTGGAAACTTCAATGAACTACAAGATGAGATCGTCCTACTTGAATGTTTGCTTTAAGAAGTGCTGCATTTATAAAGTTCATGAGTTTATCTTGAAGGGGCATGAATCTTTTTATCAGCCTTCAATGATGTCAATTGGTCCCGTATACTATAAAGATACGAAACTAGAAAGCATGCAAGAGTTAAAATGGATTTTCTTGGATTGCTTCCTTCAACATCCCGATAATGCTTGTCGAAGCTTGAACACTTACATCGATTATGTAAGAACAAGGGGAAGAGAGATCCGCAGCTCTTATCAGCATCAAAGTAGACTCTCTAGTGACGAGTTTGTTGAAATGATAGTGCTCGATGCTGCATTCATGATCTACCTTTTCTTCATGAGCATCAATAGGCCCTCGTTTAAGTTACCTTTTATGGGGAATAATTTAGCAGCACAACTTAATTATTCGATAATGGATTTATTTCGGTTGGAGAACCAAATTCCTTATTTTGTTCTCAAGGGAATCTATGATATAGCATTTGGTAACGTCTACCAACCTAATACTCTCATTATAGCTATTCTTTCACTTATAAGCAAGATTGGTGTTGGTATCCCCGGAAATACGTACGGCTATCAAGAGTATTATTGTTGGTAATAAAATTACAGATGAAACAAGCATTCAACATTTGTTGGATCTCCAAAGGATGTCTTGTTGCCTTACTTCGAGCACACCACTGCACAACCAACCAAATACAAATAATCGAAGATCAACTGATCCATCATCAGTATTTTGTCAACACCAGCAGCGTCATATCAAGATAGAAAGTGATGATGATTCAATCGGTCGTCTTTGGTACACTGCCAAGCAACTAATAGACGCAGGAGTCACATTTGTGGAAGGTGAAAGTAACAATCCACTTGAAGTAACATTCACTAAGGGGAAACTAACGATTTCGAAACTAAAGATACTAGATTCCACAGAAACTAACCTGCGGAACTTGGTTTATTTTGAACAATGTCATTACGATGTTGATACTTACATCATTGATTATATTATCTTCCTTGACGAATTGATAGACACCGTGGAAGACGTGCAAGTGTTAGTTAGAAGCAACATATTGAGTAATCGTCTAGGAAGTGATGATGATGTTGTAAAGCTTTTCAACAATATTGGCAAAAACGTACTTTTTGATTCATCAAGATACCGTAATTACTCCGATGTTTGCAGAGATGTGAATCGCTACGCTTCATCCCGTCAAAATAAATACATGGCTATTTTGAGGAGCAAATACTTCAATCATCCATGGGCAACTTTGTCAGTCATTGCTGCATTCTTTCTTTTTGTGCTTACTCTGTTACAGACTACTGCAGCTTACATCTACAAGTAGTCCAACTACATAGATAACGGGAATTTCCCTATTTCTCATAATGACATTTTCGTGAATAAATCAACAACTTTTTCATTATTGTGGGCTCCACAATTCAATAAAGTTATTGGTTTATTTACGAAAATGCCATGTTTCTCACCATGAGAAATCGGGGCATCCTCATAGATAACTAGCTCTATCTTGAGTGCTAATGCTTACATATATAGAGATTCTTGCCATGTCTAATACTACTGCAATGAAATTGGAGACTTGAATCTTGCATATTCATGGTCTTGAATGTTTCAATTTTTTTTTTTTTTTTTTTTTTTTTCGGGGGGGGGGGGGGGGAATGCAACCAATATGTAAATATGATATTAGATCGTAATTGTAACTTATTGTTGTAATTTGTTGTTGGTAATAAACAATCCTTATTGTTATATGTCTTCTATTATGAGATTAGTGACTTACCTAGTTTGATATATACTTCTTTCGTTTCTATGTACTTGCAACAATTTGACTTTTACACTATTTATGTATTCCACTTTGACTAGCTTTGATGATTTATAGCTAATAAATAATATAGTCATGTGAGATCTTATTAGATTCGTCTTGGTTTATACTATTTTAATATCTGACATTTATAATTTTTACATATTGCTAATTAAAGATATAAACAATTGAAATAATGCATCACCAAGTGGGAAAGAGAAGTGTTCAAGTATAAAGAAATAGAGAAAGTGTATATTATTTTGACAGGCGTGACATTTGATATTGTTTACATGATTTTATCATAATAACACGTTAGGGGATTTATCTGTGTGATTACCATGTAGCCGAGTTACTCGATCAGGGGTTACTCAAGTTACTCGATCAGTCAGGGATTACTTGAGTTACTCATGACCGAGTAACGTAACTCCTCAAGTAACCCCTGATTGAACCCTTTAAGTAACCCTTGACTGAGTAAGGTCTTGTCTTTTTGAGCTCTTGGCAGCAAAGTAGGAGTCAGTACAGTAGAGCTTCTATACACTATAGAGTAGAACAGATTTTAAATGAGTAGAGCTGAACAACTCAAAAGAACAGTACAGGGCTTAACTCGAGTAACCCCTGAGGCTCTGACTGAGTAACTCGAGTAACACCTAACCGAACCCCCCAAATAACTCCTAACCGAACCCTTTAAGTAATCCCTGACCGAAAGTAACTCGAATAACTCCTGCTACACGATGTGGCCATATGCATCCACATATAAAAATTTGCCCAACATGCTTAGACATAGCAAGTTGCAATTTTAATATTTTAATTGAAAAGATACGATGTCCCTCATATATATTGGTGAAATATGAAGCTATATTAACATACTAACATTAATTTGATTTGTTATAGTTACAATGGTGCTTGGTTTTCATATGGTTGTATTCAGACAATTAATAATTTTCAAGGTAAATTTTTACTCATTTCACCTTAAAAAAAATTCAAATAAAAAAAATTAAATAACTACTCATTTCACCTTAAAAAAAATTCTGGAAAAAAAAATCAGTTCAGTAAAAATAAGTTCAGTTGAATAAATATTAGTAACTTGAGATTAAAAAAATATTAAAAATTATTAAAATTAAGTGTAGTTTTTTATTTTACTAAAAATGATTTTAGTTTAGTAAAAATAATTTTAATTTAACAAAAGTAAGGTGAAGTCGACAAAGATTAAGTATGGGTCTTTCATATGGACGTATACATATATATGGACATGCTATTGAATAGGCCGGACCGAGGCAAAAAAAAAAAGCCCATTTCTCAGGTCAGATTGGGCTGGGCTAAGCTTTCGGTCAAAAAGTATGTGCCCAAACCCACCCAGGCTGTATAGACTTTTTGGGCTGGAAAAAAAATACAACTAAAATTGCATAAAATGCATTCCCAAGCCCGTCCAAAAATTATAAAAATCAAATCGGGCTGGACACGATCCAATTTTAGACCGAAAAAATCTGTCCAAACCTTGCGCAAATTTAGGTGGGCTGACTTTGATCACCTTTCTCTCTTCCTCCCTATCCCTCTCTCTGGTTGCCGTTGCATGCTGTTCCCAAGTAATATGGATAAAACAATAGCTGTGTGCCCGTGTGACTTTTAAATTTAATTTGATTGCATCACTATTTACTACGAAGTATTAAAACTCTAGTGCAATACTGCAATTTGCATATCTAAAAATCTTGTACATCACTCAAGAGTTAAGCAGATTTACATTAGGCATCATTTCTTTTTAAGAATTAATGTTGAAAAGGCCAAAAGGGCTTGATCTAGCTAGTTAGATTTCTGTCAAACTAATGATCAAATTGCAGATTTTTAAAGTAAGCCCTTGAATATAGAAAGGCACGAAAAAAAAAATTAAAAAAAAATTGCACATATATATTAAATACAGGTTTGGAACGCATCCGCTAATTAAGAGAGAGAGTCTACTTCTCAAATCCAAAGGAGATTTCTTTCCAAAACCATGTGTCAATATGGAGGAGTATCCCCATAACCTTATATATACTCTTTCTTCTTTTATCAATGTAGGACTCTTACATATGTTATTTGATTGGACATATTTCAACAAAATGTAATATGTTTGATTACTTATATAGTTGAGACTTTGCGATGCACTACACATTGTCATAGTTAATTAATTGAAATCTCTAATAGATTGCATGAGCCATGTTGAATTGTTTTGTGTTTCAAGTTGCATTCAAAGTCTACTTTATCTTCAAAGGAAAAAAATAAAAACAATATTAAATTTCTAATCACAAAACTAGTTGTCGTTAGGTCCCAAAGTCTCGTACCTGAGACCTTAGCTCAATTGAGGTAGAACTGCTATCTTATTACTAACTGATCTAGCTAAGCACTAATTAGTCATATCCTACATTTTAGTACTATATATAGTATGCAACATATATGATGATAATAGAATTATTCATGTTTTATTTAATTTGACAGATAATGAATTACTGATTTTCTTTATTCGTAACTTTATTTGTTGCTTAATGCATGGCTTGTCTGAAATTTTTGAAGAATTAGTTTTTTTTTTTTTTTTTTTTTTTTTGTTAATTAATAACTCATTTGAAATTATTGCAACATGTTAGGAGAAACTTGTACCACCCAAGCCAAATTTATGGGAACCAAGAAGAAAGATTATCATATAATTGTATAATGATGTCAAATGAGTTTCATAATACTACTATACGTAATATATTTGTATATTTTTTTCCAAAAAATCAGGTGAAATAATGCATGCATTTTAATTTGTTGATAGTTAGCTGAAGAAAGAAGTTGTTACATTTAAGAAGTTTGAAAGCAAAGAATTCCTTTTCCTTTACAATAAACTTCAGTATTCAAACCCAAAGTAAGCTTGGTATAAAGCAATGTATAAAACCACAAGTAAAGACTTCTCTTAATGAAAAACTTGCATGTTTAAAAGTGCACCCAAACACTTTTCTCCAATTTCCATATTTAGTATTAGTACGACGAGTATATAACATTGACACATACATCGCAATCATACAATTCAAAATACAAAACAGACATAAAATCGCGGTTGTTTCTAAGGATTCCTTCAACACTTCAATACATATATGGCAGATTTTACACGGAGAAGATGGACTACACCTAAGATGGCCGTTCCTCTTCGTGGTCCGGTAGATGAAGAAATCAACCCACCTTCAGGGTGGATTAATGAGTTTCGATTTCATTGCCTCCTTGTTGTTCTTCCAGGTTAGACGATTTCAAGCATTTTAATATTCATTTGTACATTGTATTCTCTCTATCGTGTCAAATTCTTGTTATGTACATATAGTTATCTTGCATGAGCAAATTTTACATATAGTTGTTATGTTTATGATACTTTTTGGAAATGTTAATTTTGTTTAAAGGTTTTGAGAAAGGCGATATCAAGTTGAATGTGGATGAATCTGGGATCATAGAAGTTACTGGAAGGAGAAAGGTAAATGATGAAAAACAAGAGCATTTTAAAAAGACCTTCAATGTGCCAGAAGACGGAGACGTAAAGAACATAGAGTTGATATTCGACGATGGTACACTACGAGTACGTATCCCAGGGATGGTAGAAGAAATCAACCCATCTTCAAGGTGGACTGATGAGTTTCCTGGATTTCATTGCCTCCTCATCAATGATCTTCTTGGTTAGATGACGCACTTTAATACTTTTCGCATATGTACATTTGCTCAATCATATTAGATTATTGCATTGTATGATGTATTAGGATATTTTACCAAAATGGTCAATTTTACAAAATTATTTATCAAAACGGCTAATTATAAATTTTAATTCCCAAACTACCTAATTTATTAACTTGAAATGAATTTATCTATTTCTTATATTCCTTTGAACTGGTTTGCTTCACTTTATTGGTTTTATATATATATATATATATATATATATATATATATATATATATATATATATATATATATATATATATATATATATATTTTGGTTATTTGTTTTTCTTTTGGAAATTCTAACGCCATAGTTAAATATCCCATTAATTTGAACAGTATCATTCAACATAGTATATTTGCAACAATTCTCAATTTTTTTCAAAAAATTACACAAAATAAACAATTACTTAAAAAATTGATCCAAACTTCCGGTCAAAAAAAAAAAATATATATATATATATATTTTTTAACACATAAAGATAGAAATATATTAAGGTCTAAAGGCCCAAAGTTTCTAATGCACGCACTTACAGGGAGAAAAAGGTGCATTAGAATAAGATAAAAGCCTATAATTTAGAAAGCAAGTTGGAACAATCAAGTCTTGAATTTAAATAACTAAAGTTATACAACTATTAAACATAAAATCATTTTATTTGCTCTGAAAACAACGAATATAAAAGCTTCTACTACAAGATTGAAGATAAGACACCCAAATCAAGCTACAAATACAAGCTAATAGTGTATTTATAATTATGCATATACCTCTAAAATAAGTAGTAATAAGTTGTATATATAGCTAATAATTTATTTTTTTGGTTTTATTGTAAAAAAATCTGTAAGAAAAAAAAAATAAAACCAAAAAAAAAAAAATAATAAAGTGAACCAAACCGGTTCAAAGAAAAATAATAGATAGATAAATTAATTCCTTCAAAATTAATAAATTAGCTACTTTGGGAATTAAATTTTATAATTAGCCATTTTGATAAATACTTTTGTCAAATTAGCCATTTTGGTAAAAAAATCCTATGTATTACAGTAATTAAAGGGGTTGATATTACATATTTGCTAGGAGTTGAAATTTACCAAAGGAAATAATTATGGTCTGGGGTGATATTGATGGTCACAAATTACATATATACTTGGTACTTGTATAATTTATGATGATCTGATAAGCTATATTTGGAATGTATATTGTTAGTTGAGACGAATACTGCAAGAGGGGGGTGAATTGTATGTGAGTTCCTAGTGGCTACTTTCGTGAAATATAAAATAGAATGTAAAGGAACTTGCAATGCACACAGTACAATATTTTACGAGGAAACCTTCTAGGGTCCAACTAGAAGTAAAACCTCAACCCTTCTAAGAGATTTCCAAAACCAAACCAATTCACTATAATAGGGCAAACACACAAGTTACAACCTATTATACTCAGACCTTTACTCACAAGTTCCAGACTGAAGTTGCTACATAGTAGGACCCTATCCTACCAAACCTAAGTCCCTGGCTTAGATTAACTTGTACTCCCTGAGCACTACACGCTCAACTTCAACCTAAAAGCCTACACAACTGTATGCAAATACAAATTACACACACACACACACCCAAGAACTCAACCAATACAAAATATAGACCCTTAGTATATGAGAGGCAAGCTACGCATGAAACCCAAAACTAATATGACAAAGTTATGGACTTGGCAAACTTACACAATTAAGCACATTTCGATTTCTTCACGTATAAACTCACAGAAAATAATGAAATGGGATTTCTACAATTTATACAAGACTTGCTCGTATAAAAAGTAGGATTTTCAATAGATAAATATGTTATTTTACCAAAATCCCAAATAACGGTTTTAATTAAGTCTGTTTTGAAGAAAATCTTTTTAGAAAAATTATCAAAGATAAATTATCAAAAGAATAATATCTTTTGATAATTCTGTTTTTAAGAAGTAAATCATTTTAGAAAAATTTTTCATAAAAACTTATCTTTTATAAATTTTCCTTTTTTTTAAGCTTGCCAAGCTCATTTGTCACGAGATTTCAAAAAAAAAAAAAAAAGCTCATTTGTCACGTTTCTAATAGATCTCACGTGTAACCCTAACAATCATATTTACAGCAAATCTAAAAGATTAAAACTTAACAAAACTAATTTGCTTTGCCAATATTCTGTAAACTAGGATACTTGGGCTTCACGCAGTCCAGGACCAAGTTCCTGCTGTCAGTTGCCACTACTCGAAAATAGGTCATTTCCGACGGAACGTTTCCGATGGACACCAAAATTCGTCGAAAAGTATGAAATTTCCGACGAAATTTTAATGACGGAAAATCCGTCGGAAATATTCTATTTTACGACGGATATAAAAATCCGTCGGAGATTTCCGACGGAAATTTCTGACGGATTTTAAACCCTTTCTGACGGAATTTTAGTTTTTTTTAAAAAAAAAACCCTAATTTTCACGGCTCACCCCCACCTACCCTATTTCATTTCTTCGCCTCTCTCTCCTTTCTTTCCTCTCATCTTTCTTTCTCTCTCCTCTCATCTTCCCTCATGCCCCTTCTGCTCTTTTCACGCCCCTTCTCCTATTCATTCTTCTCTTCTCACGCCCCTTCTCTTCTCCTATGATTCTTTCCCTCACGCCCTTCTTCTCTTCTCTAATGGTGATGGTTGTTTATGGTCATTGTTTAAAACAAATTAATGGGTTTAAAGGTCAAATTCAATCATGAAAATGCTAGATTTAGACTTTTCATGGTCGAATTTGGCCTTATCAAACCAAGTTTGAGGTGAAATTCGAAGGAAAATCGATATTGAAGGTAAGTTTAAATTTTTTTTATTTTTGTTTTTGATTTTTTATTCAATTTATGGGATGTGGTGGTTGGTTTGGCCGAGTTCGGTCAGCGTTTGGGTGTTTTAGGTGGCTGGATTTGGGATTGGGATAAGGGTTCGGTCTTTGGGTGGATCTGTGTTTGGTGGGGTGGGTGGTGGTGGTGGGTGGTGCTGATTTGTGGGTGGTGGTGGTGGTGGGTTGTGGGTTTGTTTTGAGCGGTTCCGATTCGTGGGCTTGGTGGTGGGGGTGGTGGTGTTTTTTTTGGGCGTTGGGTTTATTTTTGTTTATCTTGGCTTAGGTAGGTTTAGGGTTGGAGGTGGTGATACGCCGTGCCGGTGGTGGCGCGACGTATTTTTTTTAATTTCTTAAAATAATTTTCCGACAGAAATTCCGTCGGAGATTTCCAACGGAATTTTTATCCGTCGGACAATTACGACGGACTTTTCAGGTACCGGAACAACCCCGGCCTTTCGACAGAAATTCCGTCGGAAAAGTGTTTCCGATGGAATTTCCGATGGAAAAGGTCAATTTTCCTCTACCATAGCGTTTTTGATAACCATTTCCGACGAAAACACCTTTTACGACGGATTTTAGGGTGTTTTCGACGGAATATTTCCGTCGGAAATGGGCCTATTTCTAGTAGTGTGCACTCTAGTTTTGAACCGGAACTTCGCAGGCCAATTAAGTTCCAATAGAACTTGTTGTCTTCAATGCAGACCAAGTCAACACTTTAACTTGCTGTCTTCAAGTTGCTGTTAGGGAACTCAGATAGTTCTTAGTAGAGAACTTTTCTTCTATCTTGTTTAACCTTTCCTTGGAATCTCTTCATGTCTTCTTAGATTAGGCTACTCTTCCACTTCCAAAGTCTACTTCACCAGTTCTAATTACAACACTTAGAAAAACCTTTATTAGTTTAAGTTTGCCTCGTTTAAGTTCATCATCATCAAAACCTTTAAGGTTCAACATATATATACTTGTATTTTGTTTGAAGGTTTTAATGAAGACGATATCAAGCTGAATGTCGACAAACGTGGGATCATAGTAGTTAGCGGAAGGAGAAAGTCGGCAGGTCTAAAACACGAAATTTTTGAAAAGAAGTTCAATGTGCCAATAGATGGATATACTATTCACGTTAACAATATACAGAAGAAGTTCAACGGAGCTACGACACTAAAAGTATTTATCCCAAGGCCGGTAGAAGAAGAAATCATCCCATCTTCAAGGTGGACTAATGATATTCCTGGATCTCATTGCCTCCTCGTTAATCTTCCTGGTTAGGAGAATTCTCAAGCACTTTGATTTTCACCTGTACATTTGCTAAAAAATGTCATATAATTTACGATATGATTTTTGGAATTTATAATATGTTGTTTGCAGATTTTAAGAGAGACGATATGGAGGTGGAAGTTGATGAATCTGGGGTAATAGTTGTTGGGGGAAGGAGACAGGTAGGGGGAAGAAAACAAGAGCATTTTATAAAGGCGTTTTATGTGCCAGGTGACAGAGACATGAAGAGCGTAAAACAGACATTCGAAGGAGATATGTTAAGAGTATGCATCCCAAAGGTAGCAGCAACGGAGAAGGGCAAACCAAGCACCAACAAGGACAAGAAAGAGTCCAACATAATTCCAGATGAGAATCCTGCTTCAAGTAGCGGCGTAATGGACAAGGGTAATGAACAAGTGTCTTCAAGCACCGGCGTAGTGGACAAGGGTAAGGAACAAGTGTCTTCAAGCAGCGAATTGATGGACAAGGGTAAGGAAGCGTCTTTAAGAAACAACACAATGGTGGAGAAGGGTAAGGAAGTGTCTTCAAACAGCGAAATAATGGACAAGGGTAAGGAACAAGGGTCTTCAAGCAACAACATAATGGACAAGGGTAAGGAACAAGTGTCTTCAAGCAGCGAATTGATGGACAAGGGTAAGGAAGCGTCTTCAAGCAACAACACAATGGTGGAGAAGGGTAAGGAAGTGTCTTCAAACAGCGAAATAATGGACAAGGGTAAGGAACAAGGGTCTTCAAGCAACAACATAATGGACAAGGGTAAGGAACAAGTGTCTTCAAGCAGCGAATTGATGGACAAGGGTAAGGAAGCGTCTTCAAGCAACAACACAATGGTGGAGAAGGGTAAGGAAGTGTCTTCAAACAGCGAAATAATGGACAAGGGTAAGGATCAAGGGTCTTGAAGCAACAACATAATGGACAAGGGTAAGGAACAAGTGTCTTCAAGCAGCGAATTGATAGACAAGGGTAAAGAAGCCTCTTCAAGCAACAACACAATGGTGGAGAAGGGTAAGGAAGTGTCTTCAAACAGCGAAATAATGGACAAGCGTAAGGAAGTGTCTAACAATGGTGAGTTAGATTCAGTTAAGGAGGACGAAACCTATTGGAGGCGGGTATTGAACAAGTTAAAGCCTTATTTCAGGCTTTGAGACCAAAGAGAAGATCAAAAGTGAGCTAAAGCATCCATTATATCATAAATTAGACCTTGGTGGTGTTACTGTCTCAAAAATTCAACTTACAAACTCTGTTTCTAACTCTGCTTCATCATAAATTGTACAATTATCAACATGTGTCAATTAAACCTGTATATATATAAGGATGAACACGTTGCATACTGTAATTATGTAACATATGAAGTTATACATACAACATATTATAGCTTTCAGAAGTGAGATTGTAGACACCTAAAAATGTCTCCCCAAAACCAAACCCGATGATGAACAACCTTTCACTGCCATTATTGGTCGGGTTGAGTATTTAATCTTCGAGTGCTTAAATCCATATTTTAATTTCATAAAAACAAACCAATTCCTAGCCCATTTCCCCAAACCATAACTTATTTTCCTCTTTTTCGTGCCTTTAAACCCGAAATAATTCATTATGTGTCCTTTAAAATCATTCATTTAGTGTCCTTTTTATAAAAACGTTTGTTTCAGTTTATTTTGGTCATAATCTGGGTCCAATGATTGAATATTTGTATGGGTTTGAAAAGAGCTTTCTAACGATATATTATAAGCCCAAATCCGAGTTATAACGAATAAGTTATGACCAAAATATTAAACTGAGTCCAAACCGAACCTAAGTCCACCTTGCCTACGACCCAATGATCATGTGGAGGGTCCAAATTATTTAATCCCATTCCTAAACCAATTAAGATTAATTGGAAGCTTCTATAAGTTTCTAAAATATATTAATTATTCTTTTTGAAAAGATAAGATTAAAGAGTTTGAAATTGAATAAAACTCCTTTTTTTGAAAGACCTAATTCTATCCGAATTGAAAGACGTTCAAAGATAGTCAGATATGATTTTCTTGCCTCATATATTTTATCAAAATTTTATATGGTTGTATAGCCCTTGAAATTATCTTTCCAATGATATATTATAATATCAATTCCGAGCTATAACGGAAAAGATATGAATAAAATGTCAAACTCTATCCAAAACTGATACCGTCTCACTATTTCGGCTATATCTTTTGTTCTAAAAAATATTTTAATCTTATTCTAATTAGGTTAGAAAGTATACTTCAATAGATTTCCAACAATATCTTATTCATCTTATTCCGATTTCTGGATCAAAAGATATGATAAAAACAAAAACCGCAAAAACTGCTATCTATCGCAAGAGTTTTATCCGATTCGAATTCTTATCTTTTCTTGATTCTTCGACCTTCTTTTTTCTCTATAAATAGAGGTCATATCTCCCCTTTTTCAATGATCAAAAAGCTTGATCATAAAATAATTCTCTTCTCCCTTTTTAGCCTAAACACTAGCCTCCCTATTCTCTCAAAATACTTCCCCTAATTAAGCACTCCAAGGAGTTCATACAATACCCAAAGTTTTATACTTAAAACCAAGGTGTGAAAAGGTAGAATTAAATGAGGGTTTGGACTAAATCAACTCTACTTTTTAATTAATTTAATTTTCATTTGATTTAAATTTTTATTGAAGTTACTAACAATTTATTCATGATGTAGCATTGTAGCAATTTAAAGGAACGCGCGGAAAGTGATCTGAGTAATTAATCACTTAATTACTCTTATTTTTATTCTAATATTGCTAGCATCATGATTAGGTTATTTTATATTTGATTTGACTAACGATATTATTGTTAAATTGCTTCTAATATTAATGTTTATTCTATTATTTTTATGATCACTATATTGCATGTTTAAAGGGAAAATGTAATTGAAAATCACGCCTAATAAGATAATTTGGACAAGGATCCTTTTTAATCTTGTTGTTAATTCAAGTGATCACAAATATTTTAGAATTATATGTTGCATTAATATTCAACCAATTTAGCTTAATAATAGTTTAGACCAAATTGAATATTTTGTTTGCATGCCTTTGAAATCGCAGGAATCACTTTTCACTATAAGAATCGAGTAGAGGCCAATACGGGTGAATGTGACTCCATGACTCACTTCGTACCATCATCCCCGATCCTCCTTTCGTGGTTCCGAACTATATAGAGTTAGTAATCTCATGGATTATGAATGGGGTGTAACCTTCACGGGTCAATCGTTGTTGCCTATCGTTGTCCCTTTATCGTGGTTGCCTTTTATGATCCGTGAACGGTTTACAAGTTCCTTGAAAACTTGTTGGCGGCTCCCTACTTTCCTTGTCCCTAATCGTGTCCCTTATCGTATATGTCAATTCCCACTTCCTATGAGTGCCAAGCATATTCACAACATGCTTTTATGTAGGCGCACTTCAAGCGACGCCTACAGAGATACATCCAAAATATAAAATGAATTGATGCTAACTGCTAATGACAAATCATATACTTCCTCCTTTGACTCTCCCCAATATCTTTTTTTTCTTTTTTTTTTTAAAAAAAAAAGGTGTATATGATTCTTAATAAGCAGTTCTGTAATCTTCAGAAATCCACTACAGAAAAAGGTGTCCTTATTTTTGGACCATCGGAAATTGAAGAAGCTTGTTTGGGAATTGAGATGAAAAACACATATTGTAATCTTAAATATTTTTATAATACATGAGGTAAATCATTTTAAATATAGCAAATACTTCCTCCGTTTCTATTTAGTTAACACGTTGAATTTAAACATACATATTAAAGAGAGGAGAGAGGATAAGAGAGAATAATAAAGCAAGTGGGGTACACTTAATTAAAAAGCAAAAACTGACCTATAAAGAAAACGTGTCTACTAAAAAAAACTTTCTAAAAAGGAATACATGTCAACTAAAAAAAAATTGAAGGTAAGTATATATTAAAAGAAATAAATTACTCGTATTGCATATTAATTACCATTATAACAAACAAAGAGTTACTTACCTACAGGCTTGATCAATATAAGGATGAGTAAATTTGATATTTAAAAGAAAAATTTTATCATTTTCACATACAATCTAATGCTTTATCCGCTTTTTTTTACTTGACTTGTTTCATTTATCTTCCTTGTCAATACAAAATTTTACTCAACAATCAATAATTTTTATTCTGCATAATTAAAAATTATAAAACTTATTTTATCAAAAAAAAAATTATAAAACTTATATATCACAAATTTTCATATGTGGCCGACCAAATTAAACCGTAAGTAACCCCAAAATAAGTAACCCTTGACCGACCGTAGCCATAGATAAAAAAAACACCGGTTATATATTATGATAGTACTTATTATTGAAATGAATCTAACAAGATCTCACCTTAATATGTTTATCCTTGCATATAACTCATAAAAGACGGTCAAAGAAGAGGGGTGAATAATATAAAAACCAAAGCGGATCAAATAAAAAAGAATGGAGGAGATATTTATTGGACAGTTTTCAAATGGCTACAATAAAATTGTGGCCATTGTAGCTAAGTGAATCACAACCCTCGATTAATAAAATTCATCATATCCATCCATTTTGTTGACTTTAAAATACTTTTTTAAAAAATAAAAATAAAATCAAAAAAAAATTTAATTACCAGAAAATTTGGTGGAAGGATGAAATTTCTAATTTATCTTACTTATTGTTTCCAAATTTTTTCATATTTAATATTAATTGATTGATTTCTTGAAAATTAGAGACAAATTTCGTAATTTTTTTTTAAAAATCATCTTCTTTTTTCCTCCCTTTTTCTGGTTTTCTTTAACAATGGAGGATGATTCAATATTTTTTAAAAATTTGATGCAAAAATTATGGGCTTGTAATATATAATGCGGTAATATAATTATTGTTGATAATCTGTAATCAAATATTGATTTTTGAATGGAGATAGGAGAATTATTAGAACTTAGAAATTGCTAGAATATGCGTCAATGGCAAAGTTCAAAATTTTTGCATTAGAAACTGTAAAACAGTTTTTTACTCGTGACAAAGAAAACTTTTTTTTTAAGTCAATTAGATGAATAGACAAGATTGAACATTAAAAATATAGGGCCAAGATTAAAACTAATTACAATAGCTATAATTTTATTGTAGCCATTAAATAGTCTTCCGATGTTTATTATTGCACCATATAATCCAATAATCTAACTCTATTCTACAGAAATTTTCCTTAAACTTGACTATATAATTTAGCTGCAAATTATTTACACTCAATAGTCAATAACTCAATAATAGTAGCACACGTAGGGTGAACCAATATATTTATGAGAAATTAAGATATCCTTGTTTATTAATTTGACGGATAATAAAATACTGATTTTCTTTAACTATATGTGTTAATTAATGGCTCATCTGAAAATTTTGCAACATATATTAGAGTTTTTACTAATAATTGCTCATATGAATTTTGAACTTATTGCAACATGATTACTATTAGGATAAACTCGTTACACCAAGTCACCAAGCCAAATTGGAGGCAACGAAGAAAAAATATTATCACATAATTGTATACATCAGATGTCAAAGATGTTCATAAGACTAATCTATTATTTTTCAAAAATCAGGTGAAATGCATGCATGTGTTGATAATTAGCTGAAGAAAGAAGTTGTTACAAGAAGTTTGAAAGCAAAGAATTCCTTTTCCTTTGCAATACATTTCAGTATTCAAACCCAAATCTTGGTATAAAGCAATGTATAAAACCACAAGTAAAGACTTCTCTTAATTAAAAACTTGCATGTTTAAAAGTGCACCCAAACACTTTTCTCCCTTGCCTATGATTTCTATATTTAGTATTAGTACGACGAGTATATAACATTAACACATCCATCGCAATCATACAATTCAAAATACAAAACAGACATAAAATCGCAGTTGTTTCTAAGGATTCCTTCAACACTTCAAAATATGGCAGATTTTCCACGAAGAAGATGGACTACATCTAAGATAGCCGTTCCTCGCCGTGGTCGGGTAGATGAAGAAATCAACCCATCTTCAGGGTGGACTAATGACTTTCCTGGATTTCATTGCCTCCTTGTTGATCTTCCAGGTTGGACGATTTCAAGCACTTTAATTTACACATGTGCACAATCATGTCAATTGTCAATCAAATAAACTTGTTATTGCTAGAACATATTACATATATATAGTTAACTTGAATTGCATGAGATGGTCACAATTTAATAAATTACATTTACGTACTTGTATAATTCATGATAAGCTTTTTGGAAATGTTTGTTTTGTTTGAAGGTTTTGAGAAAGACGATATCAAGCTGAATTTCGACGAACCTGGGATCATAGAAGTTAGTGGAAGGAGAAAGGTAGATGATGAAAAACAAGAGCATTTTAAAAAGACCTTCAATGTGCCAGAGGATGGAGATGTTGAGAACGGAGAAATGATATTCGAGGGTGGTACACTAAGAGTACGTATCCCAAAGGCGGCGAAAAATGGAACGAGCAAACCAAGTAGTGCAGATGGAGCTTCAACCAAAAACATCAACACAGATAAAAAAAAAAGATACAGATATCAACAATTCTGCTGTAGTTCCAAGCAAGAGTCCTGCTTCTAACAACAAAACGGAAAAGGGAATGGATGATGAACCGGTAGAATCTAAGACAAAAACTGAGAGCCCTGCTTCAAGTAACGGTACCATGGGGGCGGATATTGAAGAAGCTAATGCTAATCAGAGCCTTGCACCAGGCAGTGACACCAATGAGCCGAAAAAAATATCTACTACAGGCAGCAATGAGAAGAAGACGAAAGAGATAGAACAGAAAGACGGTGATCAAGGGCCGAGTTCAGGAGAGGAAAAAAGTTCAAAGACATCTGTACTAGTAAAGATTGCTGAGAACAAAGGGATTCTTTTAGCATCCATTATATCATTTACACTTGGGATGTTACTGTCTCACAAAATGCACCCATCACCAACTTAATAATTCTGTTTCTGTTCTGCTTCTTTATAAATTGTATTGATTGTTCGCATGAACAATGATCAACATGTGTTTATTAGACCTTATATATTTTCGGATTCATATTGTAATTGTCTAACAAATGAAGTTATACATACAACATTAGAGCATAAGACATATCCCAAGTATAAATGAAGTGGTGCTAATGAATGTAATGACAAACCATCTCTTTCTATGTTGCTACTGAATAATGTAATGGAAGTTTTATATCATTCATCTTAATTCGTGTATGACAGTACAACAGTCCCTTTGTATGGAATTTTAGCTAGCTGTTAAGACAATGGAAAGAAAAGATATACGGAGTACATGCTTCAAAAAATCAATCAATATTCGATATTGATGTAAGAAACAAAACACAATTTTAATTTATCAATATTAGGAGTATCTGATTCTCAATAAACAGTTCTGAAATCTTCAAAAATCCACTACAGGAAAAAGGTGTCCTTATTTTTGGATCATCAGAAAATGAAGAAGCTTCTTTGGGAGTTGAGATGAAAAGAATAGATTATAATCCTAGATATTTGTATAATACATGATGTAAATTATCTTCTTAGTAATTGTTTCTCAACTTAATTTATGCATATTTTAGCCTACAGAAAACTCAACTGAAGTTGCTATTTTTGTTACTTACTGCAGGGAGAAATTGACAGAATACACAGAGAACGCGTTACCAGTTTAAGAACAACACTGATTATTAACAAAGAAGCTTCTAAATCCATTAGACATGACTATATATTGTTTTGGGACATACATATAGGACTTAGAAGCACATTTAACACAGTTGGTCATAAATTTGTTCATGCTCAAGAGTATCAATGAAAATTCAACGCGGAACAGTAAAGGCAGATGGGGGCATCTTAAGCTTATTGCAAAAAAAATCGAATTGTCATGACGTGATACAATTCAAAGGCCAAAAACATAATCAAGAAAAAGTTAAGGTATTTGACAATGATAAGTTTCTTTCAGAAGAATATTAGAACATATCTATGACAAAAATAAAAGGAGATGCCTTTTGCACTTAGAAAAAAAACCCCTTTATTAAAAATCTTTAAGGGTTGCTTTTCACAAAATCATAAAATAAAAAAGATGATATCAAGCTTACTCATAGCCTTAAGATTTTGAGGTGGAATCATATGCTTTGCACAATTGCACATACAGGGCATCTGAACCTTTTCCTATACCATATCACTTCCTAGTTGTGTAATCTTCAATCTTTCCCAAATTCTTTCTTACTGCATCAGGAGAACAAATATATTAAACAAAGAATCTTGCTAATCGCGTTACTCTACCAGCTTCGAGTCCTTATTACTCCATAATTAGCACTAAGATCGCGTACATCTAGACCTCCCCTGAACCTTATTGTTACATAATCCAAATAACATTATATGTACTGTTATCGTTTACACTACTATTACATAAGTACATTTAATATCGCGATCTGCTTTTAATCTTCTTAACCTTCATTTTAGGATTACATAAATAAAATACAGACAGAAACCCAACAGAGTGTACTATAAAAGACAGATTTAGCAAATCATTAAACCATAATCAAAGGGAAGGAAGCTGATAACAAAACCAAAAAGGAGGGAACCTGAATTATTATAAATAAAAATTAAATAACTATACATAAATAAATAAGTACAGTAAATATAAATGAATTAAAAGGCCCAAATACCAATAGACAAACAAAACCTTGAAGAAAAGAATAGAATCTGAAGGTAAAATAATAACCCAAAAAAACATTCCCTCAAATCTGAACACGCTTATACACTTATTTGAAACCCAAAGTCCAGAAAAACAGGAACTCATAAATAATTAAACAAAAACAAAACACCACTACTAGAATTATTACCACCCAAATACACTTATTCCTAAAAAGAAAATATTGTGTGCTTTATTTTTTTCTCCCCGCTATCAACGGCAATCTTGTCTAACCTTACAAAAAAGAGGGCATCATAAGTTCATTACAATGAAGTGATGAGCTCACCACCACCACCACCTCAAACTACGAATGACCCTCAGGGAGCAAATGTCATCGAGCAAAGACTCGTACGAAGATTAATCGTCGAGGTGATCGATGCTCGAGACTTGCTCCCTAAGGATGGTCAAGGGAGTTCAAGCCCATATGTGGTGGTCGATTTTGATGGGCAACGAAAGAGGACTACTACCAAGTACCGGGACCTTAACCCGACTTGGAATGAGCCCTTGGACTTCATTGTTTCGGACCCGAATACGATGGATTTCGAGGAGCTTAATGCTGAGGTGTATCATGATAAGCGTATGTCGCCTTCGGGTGCAGGTAGGAAGAGTCATTTCCTAGGGAGGGTGAAGTTGTATGGGTCACAATTTTCTAGGCGTGGTGATGAAGGGTTAGTGTATTTTCCTTTGGAAAAGAAGAGTGTGTTTAGTTGGATTAAAGGGGAGCTTGGGTTGAGAATTTATTACTTTGATGATGTTATTGAGGTACCTCCTCCGCAGCAAGGCGAATGCGGAGGAGGTGGGGGTGGAGGTGGACCTCCCCCTCCTGAGATGGCGGAGGTCCAACCCGAACAAAGAAGGGAAGAAGTAGAGCAAGGCAGAGCGGTTGAGGTTGTTCAACCAATGCCAACCGAAGCCGCAATGGAAGCTTCTGGAAATGGTCCTTACCCTCAAGGTCATGGTCCTCCACCTCAAGGGATGGTTGTGGAAGAAGGTCATGGTCCTCAAGGTGGTGCGACAACCGAAACGATTGTCCACCACCATCATGACGGATACCCGCCACCACAACAAGAACAATACCACCCACACCACCACCATCCTACGCCGGAAATGCAAGGTCCTCCACCTGAGATTATTAGACGAATGGCAGCGGCTCATAAACGAGCCGCTCCCGGTGAGTTTGCTCCTAGAGTAATATCAGGTAAATTTGTTCCTGAAACAGAGAAGATATCAGCATTCGACTTAGTTGAGCCAATGCAATACCTCTTTGTTCGAATCGTAAAGGCTCGTGGGTTAACACCTAATGAGAATCCATATATCAAGATACGCACAAACTCAACTCAACCACCACTGCGTACAAAACCTGCTACCTATCGCCCGGGTGAACCACCCGAGAACCCGGAATGGCAGGAGGTTTTTGCAATCTCCTCTCCCTCACCCTCCGTTGCCGGGACCCTCGAAATCTCGATATGGGACTCGGCAACGGAGAGATTCTTAGGAGGGGTCTGTTTCGACCTCTCAGACGTGCCAGTGCGGGACCCGCCTGATAGTCCGCTAGCCCCGCAATGGTATCGTCTAGAGGGAGGGGAGGGCATTTCAGGGGACGTGCAGCTTGCGGTCTGGTTAGGGACCCAAGCTGACGACGCGTTCCCTGAAGCGTGGACATCCGATGCACCTCCGCAGCAGCCAAGTGTTTCCTACACTCGTGCTAAGGTGTACCAATCCCCGAAGCTATGGTACCTCCGGGTGACTGTGATCGAGGCTCAAGACCTTCACATTCCGCCGAACCTCCCTCCATTGACGGCACCCGAGATTCGGGTTAAAGCGCAATTGGGGTTTCAATCGTTGCGAACGAGACGTGGGTCAATGAGTGCACACGGTGGAGCCGCGGTGCATTTTAATGAGGACTTGATTTTAATTGCAGGGGAGCCTTTGGAGGAGCAGTTGATTTTGTTAGTTGAAAATAGGACTAGTAAGGATCCTATGCTTTTAGGCCACGCTATTATTCCTGTGGGGTCAATCGAGCAGCGAATCGATGAGCGACACGTGGCTGCAAAATGGGTTAATTTGGAGGGTGGTAGTGGGGGTGGTGGTGGAGGTGGTGATGGGCCCTATTGTGGGAGGGTTTTATTGAGGTTATGTTTAGAAGGTGGGTATCACGTGCTTGATGAGGCTGCTCACGTGTGTAGCGATTACCGCCCGACGGCGAAGCAGTTGTGGAAGCCTCCTATTGGTGTTTTAGAGCTTGGTGTTCTTGGGGCACGTGGGTTACTACCGATGAAGACTAAGGGTCCGGGTAAGGGGTCTACTGATGCTTATTGTGTGGCTAAGTATGGTAAGAAATGGGTTCGGACCCGGACGGTTACGGATAGTTTTGATCCGAGGTGGAACGAGCAGTACACGTGGCAGGTTTATGACCCGTGTACCGTGTTAACGATCGGAGTATTTGATAATTGGCGGATGTTTACTGACCCGGGGGAGGAGAAGCCGGACTATCGGATTGGTAAGGTTCGTATTCGGGTGTCTACATTGGAGAGTAACAAGGTGTATACTAATTCTTATCCTCTTTTGGTGTTGCTACGAACCGGGCTTAAGAAAATGGGTGAGATTGAATTGGCGGTTCGATTCGTTTGCCCGTCTTTGTTGCCGGATACGTGTGGTATCTATGGGCAGCCTCTTCTTCCGCGGATGCATTATCTACGACCACTTGGGGTGGCTCAGCAAGAGGCTCTTCGCGGGGCTGCTACTAAGATGGTAGCAGCTTGGCTAGCCCGTTCCGAGCCACCACTTGGGCCTGAAGTAGTCAGGTACATGCTAGATGCAGACTCACATACTTGGAGCATGAGGAAAAGCAAAGCTAATTGGTTTCGGATCGTAGCCGTACTCGCTTGGGCAATCGGGTTAGCCAAGTGGTTAAACCATATTAGAAGATGGAGGAACCCATTAACCACGATATTGGTTCACATTCTTTATTTGGTCCTAGTTTGGTATCCTGACTTAATAGTCCCAACCGGATTCCTCTATGTTTTCCTAATTGGAATATGGTATTACCGGTTTCGACCCAAAATACCCGCGGGTATGGATACCCGATTATCTCAAGCGGAAACCGTTGACCCAGATGACCTCGATGAAGAATTTGACACGGTCCCAAGTTCAACCCCACCAGACTTGATCCGTGTTCGATATGATCGGTTGCGGATCTTGGCAGCCCGGGTTCAAACCGTGCTGGGGGATTTAGCGACCCAAGGCGAGCGAGTCCAAGCATTAGTAAGTTGGCGTGACCCGAGGGCTACAAAACTATTTATAGGGGTATGTTTTATGATAACAATAACATTATATGCAGTACCCCCAAAAATGGTTGCCGTAGCACTTGGGTTTTATTTTTTGAGGCATCCCATGTTTAGAGAACCAATGCCTTCAACTAGTCTAAACTTCTTTAGAAGGCTACCAAGTTTGTCTGATCGATTAATCTAGACATTTATTAACATTTTTTCTCACTTTTTTCCAAATCTTTTGCTTAGAAAAATATTTATAACTATAGAAAAATGCAATTTATTTTGATTTATAGGGAAAAAAAGGAGACTTTTTGAGGGGGAAAATAAAAAGTATGTGGGTTTGAAAAGGGTTTGGGTCTCCAAATAATATAGGGTACTAAATGTACATTGGGAGAGGAGAAAGTGGGTTGAAAAAACGGGTCAAAAAAAGGACTTTTGTTTGTTTGGGGATTGAAATTGATTGCCTGACAAAAGGATTGAAATTAGGAGATGAAGAACAAAAAAGTGGGGGCAAATTTTTGGATGCCAGGGAGATTGGTGTTGTATTGTCTCTATAGTATGAATATAGAGATTTAATATTTTAATTGTACTTATTACTTTATAGTTTCCACTAACATTTGAATGTATTAATTACTACTAGGAGTAAAAGATTTGTATGAGTATCATTTATGAAGGCGTTCGGGCTTATAATGTTGTGAATGTTTTCTTGTATATACGTTGCGTAATGTTTAATCAATGTTATATGGTAATTTGGTTATAAAACGAGTAGACTGTGTAGCGTTTATTATATGTAAATTAAACTAGAATAGATATTTGTACAATGTTTTAGAAATACATTCTGAAAATTTTTGAATTTCCATTTCAAAGATGCAAGCAATGAAGCAATCAACCTTTATTTACTTTATCAAGATATCAAGGCTGGAAGCATAAAGATATGATGCATTGATGCCCCATTACACCCACTTCCATTACGTGAGACCCTGTGTTAAAGGCCAATATTAATTATAAAGAGCACTTTTCACTATTATACAAAGTAGTATTAAAGTCCATTTTACTTTGCCTTCTTCTATTAGCTTAAGGATCCATTTTATCAAGCTTATATATGTGAGCATCAGAACAAATGTACTTGTTAACGTGTTAATGGCATAGTCGTGTATAACACGGCATGTGGTTGTCACGCGCTAGCGCGTGGAGGACAGCCTCCTCCTCGCGCTCCCAAGAACATGAGTAACAGAGCAAGTATCATGTTTAGTATTCTCGGTTGCGTTTTGATGATTTAATTTTTATATGCCTCTAGTTAATTTTGATCCTCACATTGTATAGCCCCTTAATACATACAAAGTATTGTTGGAGTAAGTTTTGCAAATACATCGAAAAACAAGATCTTTCTGTCTTGTCCTTATTAAGTGTGATGTTATCAAGCTTTGTTCAACAATAAAGCATAATATATAATATGTGATTACAAACACTACTGTTTGGGTCCAATTTATCTAATTGGGCCTAGTCATGTATTTAGGTCCAATTATCTTATTGGGTCTGGTCACTAAATGACTTCATATTCCAAGGTCAAGGCCCGAGCCTCCAATCAAGCCAAGTCAACCAAGAGTCCTTTGGTCCGAATTGCCATGGTCAGCCCATGACTATGTAAAGGCCCAATTGCTCTCCTCTCATCATGTGCAAAGGTATAAAAGCCTTCAATTCATTCATTTGTGGAGAACAACACAACAAAGCCTCAAGCATTAAATCTCTTGCATAGCTTTTTCTCTCTAAACACTGTTTGACTTCGGCATCGGAGGGGTCTTCCTCGGATCCACCCCCGAGGCCAGTTTACGTGTTTTAGTTGTGCAGGAAACCTTCGGCCCAGCATCAATTGGACCGGACCAGTCTTCAGCCACTTCAACGGGCCTTCGGCAAGGCCCCATTGTTTTCATCCGAAACAATTTGGCGCCGTCTGTGGGGAAGACTTTCAAAAATCTTTAAGCCAAATCTCTAATCAAAATCATCTTGCAATCATCTTAGTAGCAATGGCTAAGAACCGCAAGAGCAAAATCCTCCGTCAAGGAGCAGGCGAAAAGCCTAAAACTCCTACACCATCACCCTCACCGGACTGGAACTCTCCCAAGGGTGCCAGTTCGGGGGGAGGATCATACAGGGAGGATTCCCTTTCTCCCGTAATTCACAACTCTCATCATAGGCCGAGTCCCTCTCGGTCTAGCAGAGGCCAGTCCGATCATAGGACTCACTCAGTGCCCCAAAGCCAACCATCGACCGTCCGCTCTCATTCCCACACTCAGCCGAGGACCCCTTTGACGGGGCCCAGCTCGGAGGAGGTGGCGAGAGCGCTGGCAGTGCTCATGGAGGCAATGAGGGCACAAAATATGCCTCCACCTCGCGATCGAACTCCTCCGCATACCCAGCATCAGCGGAGGAAGCTAGACCATGATGGTGGGAAACCTCCTTCCTTCCGGGAACTGGAAAAGTGGGAAGACGATACCTGGAGAACTGAAAGAGAGAGGAAAAAGAACCCTCAATTTTTCAGAGGATCCTCAACCTCCCGACCAGAAACGCATAAGAGCATCAGCTCAGCTTCTCGGCCAGAATCTGCTCGCCGAGAACAACCTGAGACCGTTCGCCAAAGCGTCCTCGACCGACTCGGCGGCAAGGAACCGAGCGTGCACAGTCGCCTCTCGTTCCCTGCAGCCGAGGCCCAGACTTCCCAGCCAGGGACGAAAACCACTCCTACCTCTCTAAGAGGGCGGAGAGCGGTCCCTTCGGCCAGGAATAAGGGCAAGGCCGTTATGCTACCCACCAGTTCCCCATTCGAGCAATGGATACTGGAAGAGCACGTGCCCACGGTCAAAATACCTTCGCACATCACATATGATGGGACTTCGGATCCGAAGGACCACATTGCCTCGTATGAGGCTCATATGCATCTTTGCCCCAGGTCCGAAGCGACTTGGTGCAAATATTTCCTAACCACTCTCAAGGGGGTCGCGCAAGCATGGATCTCCAAGGGAGTGAAGCAAGGATCTATAATAGGGTGGGATGATCTGTCCTCCAAATTTAGGAGCAAGTTTTCCACGGCAAACCGCCGAGAGAAGACTACTGCAGAACTCATGGGTCTGCAACAGGGGGAGACCGAAAGCCTCCGAGACTATCTGACCCATTTCAGCAACGAGTCATCCAGCGTCTCTCAGCTGGACCAGGGGCTAGCCGTTTTTGCAATGTAGAATGTCCTTCAGCCTGGGAAGTTCCTAGACTTCATGGTCATGCATACCCCGCAGACCTTGGAGGAAGCCCTGAACGCCTCGGATAAATTCATCCGAGCCGAAGAGTGGAACAAAACAAAAACCCAACCTCAATCTGGGGGAGGGAAGAAAAAACAAACACCCTTGTCTGAAGGCCAAGGCCAGAGGACAAAGGGAAAGGCCAAGGCCTCGGAACAATCTTCGGCCAACGAGCCGAAAAAGGAAAAATTTGCCTCATACACAGGCAGATACGAGTCCTACACTTCGCTCTCTCTTCCACGCACCAAAATTTACAACGTGACGAAGGAAGAACAGAGTTACCGAAAGCCGAGACCACTCCCAGAGTGGTATCAGCGAAAAAATAAAAATCAGTGGTGCGAGTTCCACGAATCTCCGGGACATAACACTGAGGAGTGTATCCAGCTGAAGGACCAGATCGAGGACATGGTCCGGAAGGGATACTTGAAAAAATACATCGCGGATCACCGCGAGAAAAAGGAGGCAGAGAAGTCAGCAAAGGACTCTCGGCAAGACCTCGACTTCCCCCGGAAGAACAGCAAAAGTGCGGAGGGAAAATTCTCTCCAATCAATGTCATCTCGGGAGGAATATGCTCTCGGAGGGAGCACATGCGGCACCTTAGGGCTCTGACCCACCAGGTGAACAACGCTGACATTCAGCCTCCCCAGTCGCCGGTGCCGAACATGACGTTCACAGCCGCCGACTGCCGGGGGGTAACGTTCCCTCACGAGGATCCGTTGGTGATCATCGCCACGGTGTCCAACCACGACGTCAACAAGGTCCTTGTTGACGGTGGCAGCGGAGCAAACATTCTGTTCCGAAAGGCCTACAATCAAATCAAGCTGAAGCCCAAGCACCTTACGCCGGTACCCTACCCGGTGTCCGGATTCAATGGGGCTTCAACTTATCCAGATGGGAAGGTGACACTTCCTGTCACCATCGGCTGCGATGAGGCAGCCAGGAATGTCATGACTGAATTTTTTGTCATTGACGCTCCTTCAGTGTACAACGTGATTTTGGGGAGACCCATAATTCACGAGATCCAAGGGGTCGTCTCAACTTATCACCAGCTGATGATTTATGTCTCAGACGCCAGCTTCCCCGAAAGGATCCAGGGCAGCCAAAAGGACGCCCGAAGGTGCAACTACCTCAAGCCATCCACTAGTCGCCCAGATGACGATGACAAGGATGAGGAGGAGAAAGAAAAAGAAAGAGAGCCCAGCACAAAAAAGCCGAAAGGCCTAAGTGCTTCGGCCCAAGGTTCTGTGCCCAGATAAAAAGGGCCAGAAAGGGAAAAGGCTATCTCTTCATCCGAGCCGAAAGACTTAGAGAGCCAGCCAAAGAACAAAAAGTCTGGGACGCCTGCTGACATAGACAGCAGGCCAGATTGTGAAGAGTCCAATCCATCAGCAATGGACACGGACCAGCAGACTGAAACGGTCGAGTTGACCGAAGGAGACGCTGAGAAATGTGTAACAATCGGGATGGACCTTGATCCGAACACCCGTTGTGAACTTATTCAGCTCCTTCGGGACAACATAGATGTGTTTGCTTTCTCGGCAGCTGATATGCCCGGGATAAGTCCAGACCTCATCTCCCATAAGCTTAATGTTGACCCAACGTGTCGACCAATTAAGCAAAAGAAGCGGAATTACTCCACTAATAAGAACCGAGACATCGCAGCCGAGGTCAAAAAGTTGCTGGAGGCAGGCTTCATCGAGCCTTGTCAATATCCAGAATGGCTGGCAAATGTGGTGATGGTTCAGAAGGCCAATGGTACCTGGAGGATGTGCGTTGACTTCACGGACCTAAATAAGGCTTGTCCGAAGGATTTCTATCCCTTGCCGAGGATCGACCAGCTAGTCGACTCGACAAGTGGCCATGCCTTGCTTAGTTTCATGGACGTATTCTCGGGGTATCATCAGATCTTCATGCACCCCGACGATCGAGCAAAGACGGCATTCGTCACGAACACCGGGGTGTACAATTATAAAATGATGCCCTTCGGATTGAAAAATACGGGGGCAACCTATCAAAGGCTGGTGGATCAAGTTTTCGCCGATCAAAAGGGCCGAAACATGGAAGTCTATGTTGACGATTCGATCGTCAAAAGCAAAAAATCTGAGGACCATGTTAAGGACCTGGCTGAAACCTTCGCCACCTTAAGAAAGCATCAAATGAAGCTGAATCCGAAGAAATGTGTCTTCGGCGTGAAGTCGGGGAAATTCCTTGGGTTCATGGTCAGCAAGAGGGGGATTGATGCCAATCCCTCCAAAGTCAAAGCAGCGCTTGACCTTCCTGAGCCGAAAACAAAACGGGATGTTCAGCGGCTCACCGAAAGAATGGCAGCCCTCTCGAGGTTCATTTTCAGAGCTTCGGATAAGGGGTTACCTTTCTTCAAAGCCCTGAAACTCCCGAAAACAAAAGAGCTCGTTTGGGAG